GTGTTTTTTCTTGGATGCTTTTAAAAATTTAGTTTTTGCTTTCTGCTTTTCTCACGTCTTTTCTTTTTCGTCGTTTCTAAGTTTTTCCTTATGTTATGCTGATGGTCTTTTGCACATTCTTGTTGTTCATAGTTATAAAGTGCCTAGTCAAAATTCCTTGTTCTATTCACTCCACGCGACCTCTCTTGCTGCATTTTCATTACTGAACTGGCTTTTTGGTTTAATTTCAAGTGCCATTTGGAGAAACAAAATCCCGCTACCCGTACATGTTTACACTCAGTCCGATTTCCTGGCTGTTACAATCTTGCTTTGGTAGGTGCAGTACTAGAGGGTGATACGCGTTTACAGGCGACGAAATAATCTTGAAAGATTAAAGTTTTTCTCCTGTTTGCGATGGAGTGCCTTTTCCGATGTGATGCATTTAGATTAGCAGACTGAAAATGGCTTGGCCTGAGTGCACTGGGAAATACAATACGCTCACTGTAACCCATAAAGGCAATTGGACACAATTGCGTTTTAAAGTATTTTTTTTTTCTATTTTCATTTATATCTGCCACACATCTTACTCGCTTCAAAAGCGGGAGAGGAAGGATCACTGAAAAAAGTCTTGTTTACTAAAATTCGTCTGATTCACCCCACCCCGAAACATTTATCCTCGCTCGGTAACTCACTAAAAAATTACTTTTGTTTGTTTAGGGGGAAGGGATACATTCGGACTAGATAGGGTTTAGACAGACCCAATCCAATGGGTGATATTTGACGGCCGATACTCCAATCATCTTCTGGGATTTTGAAAGGGGTGCGGTTGGTAGATTCACTTGAAGTTACAACGGATTCACTTGAAGTTAAAACAAGTTTACTTCTGTTTGATGAATGAGAATTCAGTGTTTCATACCAGTCAAAATCTACCCGTTTCAAACAAAAATCATGTGGCCAGGACGACATGAACTACGAATGGTCACTACTGCCTCAGCCAGTGATAGTATTTTTTACATATTATTTAATTACTATTTAATCACTAACCGCCATCTGTGGCCTTCTTTGTGCGTCTCAGTAACGGAATATTTTGACCCACGGTTACCGGTAGACTCTCATGCTTCGATTTCTATTGTCATTCCACTTCCTGATTTGCGTCTATGAAGATTACTGTGGTTAACCCGTATGTTTTGGTATGGCGTATGGCGTCGCTACTTGGCCGGCGTATTTACAGGAGTTTGCACCACCATGTTCGCTATCGATTCACCGGTTGATTCACTGATGCAGAAACACTTTGGCGCGTCAAACTTGTATCTGGGGCTGATTTGCACTTTTATCCGATGAAACTGCTTCAAATGGGAAAGCTTGCTCACAAATCACAAGCCCATTCATCTAGACCCTCTGAGTTATCGGTACATGTGACGGGAAAAGTCGATCGTTTTGTTTTGGCCTTCACTAATAGCTGGTCATAGATGCCATTCGCAACATGGGTTTCGCATGCGTCCCGGAAACTTGCACTGTACCATAATCGGTTAAGTATATTCTGTAATGGCTGTCGGCTTTTTTCTGGTTTTTACGATTGGAGATAGGTCTCAATAAATCGGTTTACGTTCCTCGCTAGGTGCCCAGACGATTCAGAAGGTGGGTGAATCGGCTCCTGAGATAGGGTCATACCTCAACACTTGATACCATTCCGCCGGATAAAAGCGTAAAGGAACCATAGCTAAATTTTCGACTTAACATTGTTTCCAGTTTGGTGAATTACTTGGTGTAATTTCGGTACAGGTTTATTAACAAACGATCTATGGAATTTGGGTCGTTTCATGTACTGCATTCGACAAATGCAATGAACCTTTGAAATCCAATCGAGATATGCCAACCTATATATTTTTGATCACCGGGGTGATATTTTTTGAACACATGAAACTATTATTTGTTCCTCCTCTTGGGAGTAGGAATTTTTCGCGTGATTCATTTTAGGTTGCCAAGTCACGTAACTGGGTAAAAAACTGGAAGTGGTATGTGGGATGTGCCGGAAAGGTGTCTATTCTCCCCCAGGCAGTGGATGCTGAAGTACAGGCAGTAGAAACTAAGCGACCACCAAAGGTTAAGCAGCAAGCTACTGTGAGTAATGAACGACAGACAAACATGTGCACGAAGCCTGAATCATTGTAATCTAAGCACCGTAGAGCCGTTTTGCTCTTGGAATCCACCGAATGACATTCGGAAATCGTTTTTTTTAGTTGCCGTAACGCATTGCAACAAATTGTGCGCAAAGACACCGACATCAGCAGGGTTAGTTGAATTACCCATTGAGCAACTTACGCTAGAGATCACGGATAATGCATAAATGATCACATCAATCTGACGGTGTTTGCTGCAGTGGTTGATTCCGCTCAATGGATGGAACGCGTCCGGGGTGAGTCGGGCAGATCCAAATAACCTGTGATTGTTCACAACCCTCAAAATACGTAGCTAGTGGCATGAAGGTTTGTCAATCAGAAAGACCATAGGGCGGACAGGCGTTTGTGCTACCACCGATGTGATTCACGCTATACAAGTACATCGCTTGAAATGTACTCAATAAGGGGTTTCTTCGACCTAAGTTTTAGTTGTGATAAGCTTTGCTTATCAAGGCAGTCAATCTTGTCAGCGCCCTAGCAACTCCAGTGAATTCAGAGTTTCTGATTGCAGTCCTATATGTGTAGCGAATATATGGTAAACTACTGAAACTAATCCGGATCTCACAGAAATCCAGCCGTAAGGCGGAAAGGGAAACTCTGTACCCCAAGGAATGAGTGGGAATGCCGTGTCCAAGCCGATCGCACCCGTTAGCCAGAAACCAACCTCGCGGAAAAAGTATTGCACCCCCTTGAACATCACACATCTAAATAGGTTATAAAACAAATGCGATATGCATCCCGAGTTTGTACTTCAGCATGGGGTCTAGCAACCGTGGGGATTCAGTGGTTGAAAGAATAGTGTAACCTAGCATCATGTGACATCTTGATGATCGTAGCCATATGTTCACGTCACTCCCAATAACTTTGAAACAACAAAGAGATCCAGGTGGATCACCACAAGCCATTACCAACCACGGAGCGCTGGAAACAGCTTAATGATAAAGAGAAATCCTAAGGTGATATCTTTCTTGAGATCAATACCACCACACGTAAGATAGCCAGACGGTGTAATAGGTCCCGATTGCACTATGGCACGATATTTGAAGCGGAGTCAGTTAAACACCAGTCGTAAACGGATTAAACACCAGAAAACGCTCTTGAGAAAATGCACTGGCAGATTGTTACGTATGACCTCAAACTCACGCATCGCAGATGAAAACGGCGATTGAGTTACACTTTTCGGTGCCAGCGGTACAACGAACAGTTGAAACATTTCCGAAGAAGAAATATAAGAAAATGAGAAGGCGCATAATTCTAACAACGTTACAAACAGAAAGACTTGTATTACTGAATGAAACTCATTCAACTTACAACAACGAATGAAACCTCTTCCTATTTAGGAACGAAAAGAAGTTTAGTTTAAATGGAATCAACGCGTGGAACTACTATTGGTAAGTACCGTGAAAAGAGCGGCATTTGAGTAATCGGATAAGCGATCGAAACTCCATGATGGTACGGGTGGGAGGAGCTTGTCAAGCAACGGCCCAACCGAACCCGCTATACTGTGTGCGGTGCAAAATTCTGATACATATATTTGTACACTGGAGTGGCACCTTATGCTATCAATGGAATTAAATGTTAATCCTGAAGCCATTTCCACCATGATATCGCATTAGTTCGTTACTCGTATCTAAAGAAATGCTGATTATGATTTATTATTATTATTTCGTGGCATGAGAACAATGGTGTAGCCTACGCGCAGTTCAAATTTGAACTCGATAGCATGAACACGTAGTATAGTTGAAATTTATGGTATAATTTAACCCAAAAATGCACCAACACTTCAAAGTTTACACCACAAGCGTACAATAGAGGTACTGCTGACCACGGAATGGAATAATACCGATACGTACATGGTTCTGAATCTTATACAGGGTAATAACGAGGCTTCAACGGGTAAACTCCATGGTAGGAGGTGATATACTTCCGACATTTTGACATATTTTCGTTAAAATAACAGATAATTTGATGAACTTTTGTATTTTGGCTTTTCATTCGGTTTCCGTCTGGATTCTTAAAATGGTCAAATGTTCGTGCGTGTGGGGACGACGATAGTCGAATAATCTAAGGATGGGGTGGGGTGACGCAACACTTTTGACACGGGGGTGTATGTACAAAATATATAAAAGAACGTACATGCAGATGTTGGGTGAACGCAAGGCTACTTGATTCGTTGTAATTACTGTACCAGCGGCAGCCACGGGGACAGGAGTTAGAAATGAGTGGTACACACAATGTGATGTTGAGACTGATTGCATAGTTTATTTGCACAAGGAAGGCCCTTGTCAGGTTCGCCACGATCAGGGTTACACAGTGGAGGTATGAGTGTGAGTGATCATACTGGAATGCGGCTTATTTCAACGAAATGAAATCCAACCCAATCAATTGACAGTTGAAATCAGTGGAGATAGTGACTTTTTTCCGTCTATAAAACGCCTTCCTCTTAAACAAATGTTCCACCTAGGGGCCAGGATTGTTTGCAGTATGCTTGATAAGATATACTCCCGTCGAAAATCTGCCTTCGTTGCCAAAATAGTTCGCAGACAAGTAACTAGTGATCAACTGTGATGATGGTACATGACGGGATCTGGAACTGGCTAATGAGTAACCCAAACAGAACCCCCTTTATAGTCAGCTGCTTACGCAAGTCAAGAGTTGACTTTGATTGCGTCCAAAAGGTTGCCGTTAAAATTGACATCTCAGTCGCTATCCTTGCCTCAAGTCGATTCCTACTCTTTTCTATCTCACACGTAAATCAAAATTTGACTCAAAAATGTTGGATGAAAAGTTAACAGTTGTCTCCTGGAGAATAAAAGATAGCGTACATTCATTTCCCTTTACATGACAGAGGGTCGAGTTTATCGTATTCAAGGCAAACTTTACGAAGGAGCAACGGAATTACAGTGGCACAAAGACTTCTCGAACACTCAGTCCGCCCTGTTCCGAAAGTTTTCAAGTGCTGTCGAGAGTTACGTAAGTATATGGGATTGAACTCTTTTTCTCGTGTTTCATGCTTACACGGTTTTTGGTGGTCATTGATGCCTTAGGTTTTGCTTCATTGACTAGAATAGAAATTCAACTGTGATTCATTTGCATTGGTAAATCAAAAGAATACGCTGAGTTATATAAATCTGTCATAAATTCTTTCATCCTCACTGAACCCTTGTAACGTGAACTCGAAGATAGACAGTGGAGAGTACAGCTTACGGTCCAATGTAGACCCGGTTTGGTTAATGAGTTTGAACAATTTAACCGTACCTTGCTAAGACATTCGTCGTTGGTTAAAAATGTAATTCAGTTTGATGACGTTGTCTTCTACGTTCATCACTAGGAGAACAGAAAAAAGTAAGTTTATTGAGCACAAAAGAACCCATATAATAAAATTGAGCCACATCTGAAATAAAAATTTGTGTGGATGGAATCTACATATTTAGTAAAAACGAGGTATACATCTTCACTCTTTTACTGAAATGGAGGCTCCAGCAAGTGCTCAAACCTCGATTGTTTAATTTCAATGTATCTATTGATTCGTTGTATTATACTAATATGATTCTACTAATTTAATTTAATCTAATATGAATCATACTACGGGGTGGTTTGTGATACAATTGTAAAATTTTCTTCCAGATTACATTGATCACATGGTATCCGAACATTTAGACCAGATGCCTTGAACCAAACAACAAAATTTGAACAAATGCTCTTTGTCTTTACCTTTTAAACCCAGCTTGTACAAACGGAAACCCGTGACTTGTTTTTCACCACCAGCGAAAGAAGAAAAAGACGGTCTGGTGCCGTCAGATCCACGAACTATTCACGGGGAGTGGGGGGGTGGATGGGTGGGTTTAAGAGTGGTGATCATATCTCGTCATTTGGCTTAGTTTCGCCGGATTACTGTATAAATGAAAAACAGTTGAATTCTCTACTCTGTAGTGCATTTTCGATTTACTGTATCACTCGGTCAATACAAAAGTATGACGACTACGACGTTAAAACCGAGAGTACCGTACACGTGTATCATGATGAGAGGGATATTAGGTAGGCAGTAAAAATATACACAGAACCAATACTCAAAATAGAAAAAAAAAATAAGTGTGAGAATGAGACTGATTCTGACCACATTCCGAATTTCATTTACTTCTTGTCTCCTGGGACGTTTGCAAATTGATAAAGAAGACTTATGCTATATCGACATCAAGAAAAATCCTGATTTACCGAATACAATCTCACTCTCACCTATATTTCATCCAATCTGTTAAGATCCCCTGACTGTGATATGCTCTTGAGTATTAATCAAAACATATAAAAACACTGCATCACAAAATATACCAGCTATAACTGGAATAGCACATGATTTAGGCATGCATCTCTCCGTCCAATTCATTCTTCAGCCATCTCGATCGGATTTTTGGTGATCAAATTCTGAGAGGTTTAATCCTCGTTAAAAATCAGTTTTTAAGTTAATCATGACATTTTGATTTGGTGCGACCTTTCATTTAATTCACTTCATTTAGTAAAATTCACCAGAACATCTCTAGGGTAATTCATTCCATCTTCAATTATTAGTTTGGAATGGATGAACTGGTCTCCAGCACACCCTAAGACTCGATTGATCGTGTATGCCACACAGTTGCTTGCAGAGTAAAGCTCAGAGAGTGAGTCCTAAAGTATACCATAAGCACAAATTTACATTCAAATAAACAGAACCAAGCTTTCTACTGTGTCCTATAAAAGTTAGTGAGTCCCATTTTTGTAAAAATACAAACAGTGCTGCTACCAGTGTTGCAGTTGAAGCTAAACGTGAACAATGGAGAATGATCATTCTCTGTTGAAATTATCATTTCGTACGGTTATGACTTACACAACTGATAGCTTCGCCTCATTTAACAGCTACATTTTTCTGTCACATTCTATCTCATCCCGCCAATAGGTTTACGAAGCTGTTCAGCATTCCGGCGCCAAAGATCTACGGAATTCAGTTGTTGTGTTCTTATACTTCAAACGTGGCTCAGTCTATGCAAACTTAGATTTGGAGACTTCATCCACAAATCCGATTGCTACCGAAGAACTGGCCAATTACTTGTATTTAGGATCCATGATTTACGCGTCGAATCAAACCTCTAATTCCAATCAGCTGGTATGGTTCGGCAATCGAACCGTGCCCACAATTTTCGGTGAGTTGTAAACTAATTGATCACTACTGGGGCGTGGTATAAGCCAGTTTATAGCTGATTTGGTCCAAATTGTGTTTGATATTTTACCCGAGGGATCTTCCTTATTCCTGTTTTTCCTTTTCTTCACTTTTCTATATCAATGAGGATTTTTATACAAGGAGGATTGCCAATTGGAGTCCGGTAAAACTGAAACCGAGGTAACGCATTGGAATCTATCAGGATCGGTATCATTTACAACAAACACCGACTGTAATTGTTCAATGCAGTAAATGCAGTAGAAGCGGATACAAAGGACACATAGGTTATTGATCAAAATTTAGACATTGCTGAACAGGGAAAAATCATGTACAAATATACCCAATCAGTTGGATTACTACTCCTGACTATAAAAGTGAAACAAAAAAGCCCGTACGCTCTAATAAGATGGAGTCCGCAGCCAAGTGCCGCAATTCATTCCATCTACCAATGATTTGCAACCAATCTGTACTCATGTTATTTTCTCTGGCCGTTAATCAGTCAACAGGCAGGAAATTAGTGTGAGGCAACCTTATAGTAATATCTCCGGGATTAACTATTCAAATATCTGGGATTTACACTGAGGGCAGACATATGCATCGTTTGCAAGTAAGTGTTTCTCTGTCTGAGGATATTCACAAAAGATCACAAGTCAACGTCCGCGCTACCGGACCAGCTATCATGAAAACTGTGGACACTTGGTTACACTGAAAAGGGTTGACGTACGTTTCACTGAAAAGAGAGTGACTTACGGAGTCACAGTGAAGCAAACTAAGATGTTTCCTGCCTGCACAAATGTGCAGGAAGAACGGAATCGACGAACTGTATCATGAGCACTGAACAGCTGCTTCGTCCTTGTCCCGACCCGGTAACAAAGCATAACATTTTTATGTCCCTGTCGGGATTCAGATGGAAAACATTCACGGTAAACCTCACATCTGTGGCACCCAAACCATACGGCTCATGGTAACCACTTTGTGAACATCATACACAATTAAATTTGACTCCCTCTATAGTTGGATCCGCGGGAACTGATACAGGATTTACGGTTGTGGTAGATGGGCGCAGAGTCAGCGCTTCTGTGTAGGTGGCGATTACAAATTTTAATTAAACCATCCGGATTTTCATGTACTGTATCCTAGATGCTGTTGTCTATCCTTAGCGGGGATCGTTACTTCTCGTTTGTAACAAGCTAAGTTGAGTGTCATTCTAGGCAGTAATTGCAGCAGACTTTCCTCAAAAGTCAAGTAAGATGGTCATCTGTGAAGGAACAATAAACTTAGATACAACTTCTGACTACAGTCGTTTCAGATATTACTGCTTTTCAAGATCAGTTATTCAAACAATATATAAGCTGAAATAAAAAATATAGAAAATTGCATTCCTAAATGCTTTATCCTGGTTTTCCTCACTCTACTTTCTCCCCTCTCCCGTTGTCGTCTATTTTGATGTTTAGATGTTACTCCCCGAACAAGTTGTAAGGACTACGCCTCCACTTGCCCAGCACATAGCCACTGTGCGGACACGCTGAATGGTTATTTGTGCTTGTGCAACACAATGTGGCGTGATGCAAACCCGCATGATCCCGGAAAGAGCTGCATCCGTAAGTACTGATTGAAGACGTAAACTTTGAACGTTTAACTTACTCAGATACGAGTATACAGTAATCAGAAAGAGCATTGTACTTACTGATCAATTAACTCATAGTTTTCGCACTTTTGTCCCATCTGATGATTTCGTTTTGAAATTTCAATGGAATCAGACACCCGAATCATATAATGATCGTGTGCGGTGAGCGATATTCTCAATGGGCAAGTATATCATACATTTAGCAAGAAACACATCGGTCTCAATTCACTCCGGTTTTTAATCAAAGTCGACTGAATAAGTTCAAACAGGATTAGCGGATTAACAATTTTTGAGTAACCCGGATACTATGTACATTGGTCGATAATGCAACAGTGGGAGATAATAAGCTGACGTGTGGTGTCTGTCAGATGGAATCTGTCTGATTCGAACATGAAACCTTATATTAGCGTTTATGCGGCCACATATACGTCACCTCTGCTCGGAGTTATCCTTCTCGACTCAGAGGATTCTTCATTTTTGGGGCATAGCGTTTACATCCAAAGCAATTGTGAGCCACTTGTTTTCCATCACAATTATCTTAGCTATTTTTTTTACTTTCTTTTTGTTTATTGTGCATACAATGACGCTGTCAGTTTTCAGGAGAGAGTCGAGCAAAGGTTACCTGAGGAAATATATAATTGAGAACGATTGACGGTTTCAATGATGGGGATCTTAACCTCCTCACCATCACCGACCGTCAATCTCATATATACTATTAACTCCGACCATGTTCTAGTTTGCGATTGCCAGGGTTCGTAAGAAAAAAGCAGTTGCAAGATAGTTCGTTTTCGGTGTCCCACCCATAGCATCCTTATTTATGTCCTAAGGTTCTATGGGATTAATTACAGAGTGAGAAAATTGAAACGTTAGTTCCATGGCCAGATGTTCTCCAAAGTCTGATTAGCGAATATATGCACACATGTTTATGAGGAGAGGATGACTGTCGAGTGCTACTGTGGGTATGCGATACGAAATCCGGCCTAGAAAATGATTCTCGAAGCGCACAAAGGAGCAGATTCCAATGGTCTCGGCTCTAGCTAATGATGAACTTCCAATCCGTTGGGGTTGATGGCTGGGAACCAAACAGACTGAGAGAAATACTTCGACCTTGTTGTCAACCCGATTCGAATCCTTGAGACAAGCGGGAGTGGTGCTAGTGGAATCGTTCAGATAAATGTCTACCCATGTTGTCAATATAGTTCACCCCACAGGATCGAGTAACTAAGTGCAAATAATCAGAATTAGTCCGTATAATTTCCCTCCCCAAGCAAGATTACTGAGTGTCCAATGTCTATTATCACCCATTTCCATCTCCTCCAATGACCCAAACCACTTCTTACACACGAACAATATACAATCATCGCCTTCAGACGACTCAACACGACGCAATCTACAGTAATGGAAGGTCATCTCAATTCCATATGAATAGAGCATAATGGGTCACACTGATAAGACAACGAATACACCAGAAGAGGTGGTTAGAGAGAAATGATTAAAAGAAGGGACAAATTAGTTTGAAATTATTCGATTGTATTCACTCATACCCAAGGAGGGCATACACCGATGGTCGGTTACTTCACCAACACCATATCGCTCTTTACAAACACCAGATAATTAAATAGGGTCAAATAAATTATGGAATATTTTTCGATTGACTAAAATATGGAACATGCTTGCATCACCCGAAACTGTAACTGATTCCACTCGTATCAGGTGCGGTGTACAAAGGTTAATTTCGTAAACGGTAACTGATTCAGGATCCATGATCCACAAAATTTGGTACCCACATGTATCTGTGGGATCTTTTAAGATGAAGACATTTCTCACGATGTGAATAGAATGATCAGTCTGAAAGATTAATCAACCTCAAACTTCTCAATATTGCCCTGGTGCTAACTGAAGTCTGAAATATTTCACCGAAATCTACTGAATTCAAACCGACGTCCGGTTCTAGATTTTGCCCAATACAGCCATAACAGTTTAAAACAAACGCTACTGTGGGTTAGGCGATTCATTAAGCCGAAAATGCACTGTTGAGTACAGATATTTCAGCTGCGATTCGTGTACACTTTTACCCGATGAAACTGTGTCAAGTGTACATCGATGATTGCAACTCACAAGTCCGTTCAAACACACGCTCCGGAATCGTTTTCGTGTGTGTTGTGTGTTTGTAGTGCAGAGAACCGGTCGCTTCGTATTAATTCTTCGCTGCTCGTGAAAAGTAAGTCACGGTTATCATGACACATTTGATCTGGCTGAACGCGTCAATTTTGTCCTCAGTGAATCTGTGCAGAATTCATCCGCCTTAGTCCTGAAAAACCGAAAATCAGATCGCTTCAGTTAAGACAAACGCAAGGAGCATTTTCATCGAACCGGATTGTTTCAGAGTGAAACAAACGATTTGAGAAAGAAACCAATCACTGCTGAGTAGTTGCGAAATAAGACAATGCGCATAAAACTACTTACAAACCTACATAGATTTCATCCATACAACTGGTTTCCTTCCACCCACACAACTTTTTCCAGGGAGTGGCGATTAAGAGATCGGCTTGATTAAACGGTGTGCAATTTGAAGAACAGTTTCCTTTCAGGAATTTTATTATTCAACTGACATTTTATACGCAACATTCGCAGTACCAACGATGTAGAAAGCTGGAAATCCACCTAGCATGGAG